AATTCACGCCGGTGGCATGGACCCAGGACATCGGACCCGAATCGTATAAACCTTTGTCAGCCATAAAAAATGATTTAAGGAACAATAGTCACCGCCTCACCATGACTAATACTCATTTTTGGTGTTTTAGCGCCAGAAAACTTGAATTTTGCCCGATTCCCATATTTTCATGTGTTATAGCCCACGTCAATGGAATGAGCCCTGGACACCAGACAAGGATCGCCTAAAATTTTGCTGGCCCATCAAAAATGATCTAAGAAATAATAGTCACTACCTCTCCATGACCGTTACTTATTTTTTGGTATTTTAGGGCCATAAAACTAGAACTTTGCCCGAATCCTATATTTTCTTATACTATAATAGCTCATGGTTGTGGTATGGGCTTGGGTTACCGGACTCGGATCACATAAAATTTTGCTGGCCCATCAAATTAAAAACCTAAGGAACTACAGTCACCATCTCGCCGTGACCGTTACTCGTTTTTTATTAAGGTCATAAAACTTGAATTTTGCCCGATCTAGATTTTCGTATGCTATACACCGGTGGTGTGGGCCCGGGCCACCGGACCTAGATTGCCTAATATTTTGTTGGCCCATAAAAATAGACCTAAGGAACAATATTCATCACCTCACCATGACCGTCACTCGTATTTTAGCGTTTTAGGGCCATAAAACTATAATTCTGCTCGATTCCCAAAATTTTGTGCGCTATAACCCACGCCAGTGGATTGGGCCCAGGCTACCCGACCCGAATCGTCTAAAACTTTGTCGGCCCATCAAAAATGACCTTTGGAACAATAGTCACTACCTTTCCATGACCATTACTCATTGTTTGGCGTTTTAGGACCATAAAACTGGAATTATGCCCGATTCCCAGATTTTCCTGTGCTGTAGCCCACGCTGATAACATGGGCCCGGGCCACCGTACCTGTATTGTCTAAAATATTAAACGGCCTATCAAAAATAACTTAAGGAACAATAGTCACCTCATCATTGATCATTATTCATTTTTTGGCATTTTATGGCCATAAAACTAGAATTCCGCCCGATTTCCAGATTTTCGTATGTTATAGCCCATGCCAGTGATATGGGGCTAAGCCACCAGGCCTATATCGTCTAAAACTTTACCGCCCATTCAAAAATGACCTAAGAAACAATGATTACCACCTTGTTGTAACCGTTACTCGTTTTTTTGCGTTTTAGGGCCATAAAACTGGAATTTTGCACGATTCCCAGATTTTCGTGAACAATATACCATGCCGGTGGCATGGGCAAGGCCCATCGGACCCAGATCGCCTAATATTTGGCCAACCCATCAAAATCGAGCTAAGTAACAATAGTCATAGCTTCGCTATGACCGTTAATCAGCTTTTTGGCATTGTAGGACCATAAAATTGAAATTCTGTCCGATTCCCGAATTTTCGTATGCTATAACCCACGCCGGTGGCATGAGCCCGGCCACCAGACGAGGATCGTCTAAAACTTTACCGACCCAAAATAATGTCCTAAGGAATAATAGTCACCGCCTCGCCATGACCGTTACGCATATTTTGGTATTTTTGTGCCATAAAATTGGAATTCCGCCCAATTTCTATATTTTCGTGTGTAATAGCCAACGCCAGTGGCATGGGCTCGGGCCACCGGACATGAATCATCTAAAACTTTGCTGGACTATCAAAAATGACCAAAGGAACAATAGTAACCGCCTCGCTATGACCGTTACTCAATTTTTAGGGCCTAAAAACTGGAATTCTGCCCGATTCTCAGATTTTCATATGTTTTAGCCCACGCCGGTAGCATGAGCCCGGGTCCCCAAAATGGATAGCATAAAACGTTTTCGGCCCTTTAAAACGACCTAAGGAACAATAGTTACTGCCTTGATGTGACCGTTATCATTTTTAGTGATTTAGGGACATAAAATTGGAATTTTGCTCGATTCGCAGATTTTCATGTGCTTTAGCCCATGCCGATGGCATAAGCTCGGGACCCCAGAATGGATCGCCTAAAACTTTGCCAGCCATTTAAAAATGACCTAAGGAACAATAGTTACCGCCTCGACGTGACCGTTATCATTTTTAGCGTTTTAGGGCCACAAAATTGGAATTTTGCCCAATTCGCAGATTTTGTGTGCTATAGCCCACGCCGGTGGCATGGGCCCAGGCCACCTAACCTAGATCGCCTAATATTTTTCCGGCCCTTCAACTCGACCAAACAAACAATAGTCATGGTTTTGCCATGACCGTTACTCGTCTTTTGGCATTTTAGGTCCATAAAACCAATATTCCGCCAGATTTCAAAAATTTTGTGCCCACACCAGTGGTATGTGCCCGGGTCACCGGACCCAGATCATTTAAAAATTTGTTGGTCCATCAAAAGAGACCTAAGGAACAATAGTCATCGCCTTGCTATGATCAATACGCATTTTATGGAGAATGTATTATAGAACAGGGAGAATGTTTTTGTATATTTTTTATGGAGCGATAGGAGCAATTTGTTTTTTACAAAATGACAAGGATCTCTTTTATATAAGAGGGGAGTCTTAACATAGTACATAATGCATTTATTACAAAGATATGGAGATAGTACAGCTTAACGCCTAGATTTGTGTCAGGACTAGCCTACTAGTCTTTGTCGGCTTTTTTCATGCGCCTTGGGAACTCCCTGTTTCTACCGAAGCCGCGGTCAATATCGTTCCAAGGTCGGGCGTCAATGAACCTCGATGGAAAGAACTCGAACATAGCCTTGCATCCTCGAGGCTTCGAGATGATCTTCTGGGGTGCCTCGACGATGAGGAATTGGACCCTTCGATTCCACTGTATACAGAATAATACGAAAAGTATGACATATATCATAATATACAAATTAGATGTAATGTCGTTATAACTCAAACATCAAAAGTAATGTATTCCATACGAAATCTTATATATATATATATGTGTGTGTGTGTGTGTGTGTGTGTGTGTGTGTGTGTGTGTGTGTGTGTGT